AATTTTTTACACATTTTTACAATACTTCACAGTTACAACATTTTTTGCAACAGAACAAACATTTTACATTACTTAAAAGTTTACAGAATAGGTTTTTAAAATAGATCTAATAGATAGCAGCTTTACTCTCAAACTTAACCTTATATTAGCGCCCTCTATTTATAAAGTTAGCAGAAACACACTACTTAATATCACTTAGTTTGGCAAATGCTGCTCCACTCTCCAAATACAAATATAGTTTCTGAGAAGTTAAATTAAAACTTGCTATTTACTTGCATTTTTAGTATTATTTATGTATTTTTATAGATAGCATCTAGTTTCTTTTTGATTTATATGCGTAATTCGTGTCGGGGAAGTTTTCTGTAGGCAAGAGTTTCTAAATTACTTTGGCTTTCTAAAAAATCTGGTTTTCTACTCTTAATTGACCTTTCATTTTTAATTTTAATTCTAGTCATTTACTTGCTAATTTCGCAAAATTCCACTTGTTTAAATTTATTTTTAGCAATTTCACAACATTTGATTTTACTTTTGGTTTTGAATTTTACTTTTACATTTGCCTAGATGGATGACGAAACACGAATTGAATAATACAAGTCTTAGGTTTGGAAACAACTTCCCCTTGATACGTCTGTCTTCTGCCTGCTCAACAATTATTCACTTATGCATTTTATAATTTTTTTAGGATTAAAAATTTTTTTGGAATTATATATTTATTCATAGATTTTTATACTTGCACTTGATTTACATATGCTCTCAGAATTTAAATGATATTGTAGATTAGTTCGCAGCAATAATTAATCATTTATTTGTTTGCAATTAAATTTCATTATTTAAAATTTAATATAACTTTAATTTGCTTTTTACGAATAGAGAATGTCTGTTTGGCTTTCTAAAATATCTGATGAAAAATCTAAGATAATTCAAATTTCATTCTTTGCAGCAATGGTGCAAGATAATTATTTAAATTTAATTTAAGTTTACTATTTATTTATTTTTTTTTTTGAAACTATATATGACAATTATACACGCTGCAATAGGCAACCAATGTTAAATTTCTGCATGTGGTCCCTACTCCTCCGGATGTGATCACGGTGACAGCCGGCAACGCCTCAGACGAGGGAGAAAACCCGTTTGGGTTAGTCTATTTCTTATAAGGTCCATGTCAGAAATATGATGACGTCACTGAAATTCACGGGTGAATTGCCGTAGCTGGTTTCACCGACCCGTATTCAACGGTTCCAAAATGTTGTTTTTCTAGCAAAGTAACGCTCAGTTGCAAACGTTAATCATCATTCTTCAAAGATAGCAAGGTATTTTATTGGAAACCGAAGTCTCTAGATCTTCCAGATCGAGCATTTGTGAAATGTGATTACGAATCACTGATTAGCTGTTGTTAACTTGATCTTCGCCAGTCCCAATCCTCCGACTGAGACTGGCGAAAAAATATGGAGAATGGTTGAAAGCATATGGTCTTCCATTCCTCAAGATACATTCACTGATTTCATCTGTACTACTTGCTCTTGTATCGCCTCAAGGGTGAGTGTATTCTGTATCTGTCTGTTAATTTATATCACATTCTACTCAATTTTTCATGAAGTTATTTTCCCTGTCAGACATTATAAAATTTTATTCTGAATTGTTACATTGAAGTAAGGTGTAGGAAGAAATGTTTTCAAAGAGAAAATAACAAGAAAGAAAGAAAAAAAAAACCCGCATAGTACACGGTGTTTCTAAATGAATATCGGGTTTTAATGCTTTGCAGTATTTATTACGTAAAATTTAAAATTATAATTAATACATCAAATGAAACAGCAACTCAAGCAGTTATACCTACAAGCTTACAAGTGTTCAATGTGAGTACTTTTCGTCACACGACACACATAGCCCAGTTTTCCCCAAGCGTTAATTAGTGTTTGTGGTGTAATTATTGCAACAGCTGCCTCAATCTTGTTTATTTGATCAAGTAAGTCAGCTGGTAGTGGAGACACATACACAGGATCCTTTATGAACTCAACACTCTCTTCACAAACCCTTGGTCGTCTTGTACTCTTCCCTTTGCAAAGGCAGCCGGTAGTATTTTCAAACAAATGATACCATCTACGGATGCTATTATCACTTGGGGTATCACATTTGAACTCCACATCACTTTGAATTCCGGAACGCCCGTTGCACAGTAACTACAGATTTGGTCTTTGCAAACTGCAGAACACAAAACTGCAGAACACTTCTGCAAACTGCAGAAGCTTTCTGTCCGCTAATGGCGACTAGCGAGCGCTTTCTGGCGCATGCGCATACCAACAAAGAGAACTGTTTGAGTTGCTCATTCCTTTCATGTATTAATTATGATTTTAAGTTCGACGGAATAAATACTACAAAGCGTTAAAACCCCGATATTCAATATGTGTAATTTTGTCTGTATAATGTTGCGTTCAATCTGTATAATGTTGCGTTGTAATCATCGATATCAAAAATTGACCGGTTACAGGATAAACCATGTGGCATTATCTACATTAGTAGATTCTCAACAGAATATATTGTTATAAAGTGTAGATGTTATATGTATTAATTAACATTAGAAATAAATGCATAACTTCCATATATTTCGCATACTACACATCTGGTAGAAAAGATGAGATCATTACGTGCCCTATATGCCTCACAGATCAAGGATGGCAACAAGTACCTCATGTATCGTACAGATGTGAAATATATATCACAAAAGGTATCATAAACATTCAAATGAAAGCGTTTTGGTTCCCCCCCATTTATCAACTTAATTATTCTTGGAAAATGACTTCATTTATTTTACATTACGTATAGTTCTCATATTTAATGTTAAATAATTATTCTAATGCGTCCTAATAATTAAGTATAAGCCAAAATATTGCAAGGAGTTAAAATTAGAACAAAATGTATTCTTGTATTTTAACTTGCACATTTTTTAATTATTTTAACTTTAAATTTGCTTTTTTACGTATATACATGTTTGTTAAAATTTAAATTTGTTTAAATTTAGATTTCATTCCTTGCTGCAATGGCGCAAAGAATTAATTAAATTTGTATTTAAATTTATTTAAATTCAATTTATTCTTATGAAACAATATTCTTGACTAATAATATTATACTCTTAATATGCAATTACGGTAAATATTTGGAGAAATTTCATACGCTAGACTCCGTTGAGAAACAGTGAAAAACAATTAGAATGCGTACATGACAACTACGCAGCAAAAAGTAGGTGGACTTTGTCATGTGATAAATATTTCGCGTATTTTGCTGTACGCAATTCTGTAATATTTATGATTCTTTAATTATTTGCTCACATATACTGAAACATAATTATGCAAACAAACGTGATAAAGTTGACTAACAATGAATTACTACTCATCAGCTGTTTCCAGACAAGAAGTTCACACGCAACATGTATTTGTTTGCTAATTTTATAACTTCTCTAAAAAATATTGCACAAGTGCAGAAAAAATTCTTGCGTATGCATCTTTTGTAATATAATGTGTTTGAAGTCAAAAACATATTTAGTAACACAATACCGATATTTCGATATATAATGACCAAAACGTCAGGTTTTTAACTGAACACAGTTTCAATTAAAAAATAAGCTGTTTAAAACTAATGCATACCTCTTATTAACATTCTAGTACATCTTGATGGCAAAAGATTATTAAGAGAAAGTTGGCTGTTTGAAACGTGACTTCCACGCATGAATTTCATGATCACTTATAAACAGACTACTCACTTTTTTTTTTTTTTTTTTTTTTTTTTTACATTTTAACACCCCAGGGGAAAATAACAATTATATTCAGAGACCGAATTTCAAAACTAGAGATCCGCAGCAAAACTTCTTGTGAGCCTCCCTCCCGCCCTTAACATATTTTAAACGCAGTAGGTACTACTGACGCGTATTATATAAAGTATTCCACGAAATAACCTAACAGTTCCATGTTTCTTGTTTAAAAATATTTAACCTTTTCGTAGGCTGTTTTCATACTTTTAATTCATTATGTATTACATAAAATATAAGTTTTATTCTTTTTAAAACCGGGTTGTTGTTTTTCTGAATAAACCTGGAGAAAGAGAACAATATAAAAAATTCCATCTGATCACAAACTTTAATTAATCAATTTTCAGATATAAGATCAAATTAATGTAATTCAATTATAGATTTAATAATCAGATTTATCAATAAAATGTATAATTAAAAAATTCACATTCTTAAATGTATAATTAAAAAAGTCACTAGTGAAAAAAACATTTCATTTGATTATTATTTCTAGCATGGAAGAGTAATTTGTTATTTCTGCTTTAAAAATTATAAACATAAGCAGTATCGTACCGATATGGGTTGCCAATAAGCAGGCAAAACAACGGCTCATAGAAAACTAAATTACAAAGTTTTAAATTTTGTTCTTGCTTCTAATTTTAAAATCTATTAACATAATGCGTAAAATTTTATATTTTTTAAATAGTAAAGGAAGATTTAGAGGCTCTTTCTGAAATGAAGGTATGAGGCTCGTGATCCGTTTGTTCTATCATAAATCAAGACTTGGTTATATCATTGATCATCTTCGGCAGTTTCTAAATTTAAAAACTTCTGTACTATAAATAAATATACTATTTTCTAATCTGTACATTTTCTAAATTGTACTAAATTGATACAATTAAGAATATGGATAAATGCCTTTAAATATGTATCTAAAAATGACTCAGAAGTTTCAGAACATTATGCTTAAGAAAATGCTTCAAAAATTACTTATGTAATTGCTTCATAGATTCTTTTTGCCCTTGAAAATAGGTTTTAAGACATGAATTCTAAGCACCCATACAGAAGAATGAATGTCAAAAAACATCTAGTACATTGTTAAGTAATTTGCTTTTGCATATTTTTTTTTCTTACTGTGACGTTAAGGAGCGTAACTTTTACTCAAGTGGTATATAAGCTTTTGAAATATTTGGGAAGAGAACAGAGTTAGAAAATATCTTACTTAGCGACCATCTTGTAGTAGATACCAGTGTCGGTAGTAGTGAGCTTCTTGTCTATGACCTTAGCTTGTTTCATCCATTTGTCGCTGTTTGAGAGTGTGATGGCTTCACCAGTGCTCTTGCTGTCGCCAAACTTCGCGAACAGCTTGAACTGATCTTCGAAAGAGGGACCTTCTAAGCTAGGCGAATTGCTGTTCTCGTTCTTCTCGTTCGTCACAGGGGCATCTCCCTCCACATTAGCCGCCATCGATGTCCTGACTGCTAAAAAGAACATATCGATTGAGATAAAAGTTAGGAAGACAAAATAAATCTTTGTGCACTTGTGTTTTCTATAACTATGCAATTTAAATCAATAACAGTAAATATTCCCATGATAATCTCTTTCCGCAGATGACCACTTTTGAAAACGACCAGTATTTCAGTGAATATAAATAAATATCACTGATGATTCTTATAAGATGACCACTTCTTAATCTGACTGAGACCATTAAATATGACCAAAAACTGACAACCACAAATTGCCTGATTTTGTTATTAAACTAATTTCATTTTTACTCGCATATTTTTCCTTGTTTTCACTCTAATTTTACCTCATAAAAACAAGGAAGGGAAAACTACATTATATGTATTATTTCGGAAGTGAAGGGCTAAAGAAAGTATTTCGAAGATCAAAAGGTAAATAGGAATAGAAAAACTAACTGACCTATCTTTTCGCCTATCTTCGACCCCATATACGTATCATTTGATATAGTGACCTTTTTCTTCGGTCTGTAAAAATAGTTATAATGCGAATCGCAAGTTATAACGCGTTATTAGGTTCCATATTTTTTTCACCTCTATTCCATTTCGCTTCAACATACTCTCCAATCTATTCTTACCTCATATGTCTCTTCCATAAGTCAAAAGATTCTAAATCATATGCTGAAAATTTATGAGTGGAATATGCCGATAATTACAGAAAAATATGAAGGTAAATACAGCATATTTTAAGGGCTAAACGATTCAAGAGTTATATTTTCAATTATTACTGTAACAATAAGATTCTTTTCGTGAAAAACTTGCAAGGTTATTATTTAAATTAATTTTATCATTTACTATAACTTATTTATAATTTCAACCTTTACTGTAACTTCTCCTTTCCATTTCCTCACCAGAATGTAAACGAGTTAGTTGTATTTCATTTCTGAATTACTACAATAAGACAGGTTATTTATTGTTCACTTACGGCTATAAATGCAACAAAATACCACAAATTATTCAGCGTGAGATCCAAAAACTATGTAGAATTGGAAAGCCTCTCTCAGCGTGATGTTACTTTATCTACATCTACCTAATAATATATAACTTTACAGGATTATGGGATCAGTACGAAAACACTTCCAACAAAAATAACTAGATACTAATATTCGATGCGCGATATTAAAATAAAAAAGAAGATTTTAGCTATAGTAAAGGTGAATTAGAAATACGGCTACGCACATTTGATTACATTATATTGTAAAAATATTTTGACAAGGAGAAGTGAAATAGTGTATTTGGAAAGTCAAGTCTTCAGAACTGAAAAACAATACACGGCAATACCATTCAGACTCGGTTTATCGTTTCAAATTTATTCGCTATTTCGAATACTTCAGAAATTTTTACCGATGTTTTTCTGCATTTGTGCAATTAATTGTGAGTCCTTTATAATGGTTTCTTTCGTAGATATTTCGTTGTTAGCGGTTTTGATCTCCACTTTTCTTTCAGTCGACGACAACAACACTGCATTAAAATGGAATCTGTTATTCCATGGCTTTAAAATCATCCTGACTAACTACCCATGCAACAGCAACTTGACATGCTGCGTATTGAGTGGAATCTTCGCTATATAAACCCGGGCACATGAGTTTTATTTGAAATAAAAAAAATTAAGGTCTGACCTTAATATGCCTTTCAAATTTCTCCCAATAATATACGGAAACACCTTAATTTTGCACTTACCCCATAGAAATTCAGTTTTACGAATCGTTGTTTGTTAAAATAAAACTTAATTTAAATTTATTTAAGCGGAATAAACATTACTCTTTATTTAAATGTTTTAAAAAGAAAATATGTAGCGTGGATACTTTTTTAGAAGCTTTCTAGCTTCTTCAATTTAATCAGGTAATTTGGATTGCATCAACAGCAATTTCTTATTTTTAACCCATATTTTAATGTTATAATTATTTCCAAAACTTTACTAGGAAGCATAGCTAATAATTTGTTCTTCTTATTGTCAAATTAAAAGAGACAGCCTTTATAACTGACCACATGTGGACCTCCAGAGTTGGCGCACTTAGGTTAATTTATTTTATTCTTAGTAAAATCTCTAGATTCATAGCCTTTTCTAGATTCATAGCCTTCACTGCCGCGACCACGAAAGAAAGCAGCTTGCCCAACTGCTATGCATGGAAAGACGTCAAAGAATGCCTTTCTTGCTCGATATGCTTCCACTTTAATGCATAATTGCATTTTATATAGGAAATTCAAAATTATTTAAGTTTTATTATTTAGAAAACAAACTGCTTCCGCTTTAATGCGTAATTGCATTTTATATTGGAAATTAAAAATCATTCAAGTTTTATTAGTTAGAAAACAAACTGCTTCCGCTTTAATGCGTAATTGCATTTTATATTGGAAATTAAATATCATTCAAGTTTTATTACTTAGAAATCAAACTGCTTCGGCTTTAATGCGTAATTGCATTTTATATTTGAAATTAAAAATCATTTCAGTTTCATTAGTTAAAAAACAAACTATACATTGCCATTTATATAATGAGTTGTAAAAGTATTAATAATTGTAAAAATGTTAATGCTAAAAGTATTGACAGCTGTAAAAGCATTAGAATTTCTGAAATATTACTAGTTGCAGAAGTATTATTGAAATGTACAGTATTATAGCTGTAAAAGCATTACGAAGTTGTAAATGTGTTGCTATTTATATCTTGAAATATAGAAATATGAGATCATTTTACCACTCTGATGTGTTTAGAGGCATTTAATTTTGAGAATACGGGTATAATGGTACAAAACAGGTTTTTTTCAACACATACGTTTCGTCATCAAGATGACATCCGAATTAAGACGGAGGTGCCTAACGTATTAATGCCATCCCGACAAGAAAAAAAAAAAAAAAAAGAGATCAGAAGACACGTATTTACTAAAACAACTTCAAGCATAACAGGTTATGCACAGTTGTGTTACGTAAAATATAACATGGTGCACAATTTCGTGTTTCGTTAGGCTCTTATATTACTCACAGTGATATAACTTGCATTGCAGATTACACGCAGTTACATTACATAAAATATTACATGGTACAAAAGTTCGTGCTTCGTTAGCCTCTTAGAATTCCTAGTTATTTAGCATAAAATGTTTGAAAAGTTGTTGCGGCGCTGGTAGGTAAGGCGGTTAAAAGAATTGGTTGCTGGATCGTAGAGCTTGAGTTTGAATCTGAAGGTACAGATTCTTAACGTATCATGTCTTTGAGGCGTAAGTACGAGAATATGGAATTAATCTCGCAAAGTATTTTCAATCAAAACTGAGATAAAGCTTGGCAAAAATTGTTTTGTCACCTGCAAAGCGTCCAAAATTCTGGCCAACGACAGGCACTCCAATTTTTCACACAGCAATGAATTCAGAACTTGGTATAGTCCCACATTTCGTAATAAAGAAATCATTATCCTCCTGGTCTGAATCAGATCAAGTAGGTAAGCAATAACAGAAAATTTTAGCAGAGCACGTAATAATGCAAGAGATAAATTTCAAAGTAAAACTGAAAAAGCAGGATGTTAAAATATGTTATACTTTAAAGAAGTTTCATGCAATTTTCAAAAATTTGAAAATAGATTAAAACTTCCTTTAGCGGGGACTCAGGGCCTTTATCAAGGAAATTAAATGGAAGTAAATTCATATCCTACTTTAAAGACTTGGTATTCAGAAACTGTAGGTTAATAAGGAATATCCGTTAAAGAAAGTCTAATTGTAGCAATCATTGTAAATTTAAAAAAAAAAAAAAATTACAAGTGATGCAAGAAACGCGTCCTGATCATTAATGAAAGCAAATTTTAGACTCTTCTCTCAACAAATACCCATATTATAGTATGATATTCATAATTATTTTAAACGATACTAAAATTATTATAACATTGTGACCAATATTAAAATTATCTTATTATCCAGCAATTTGTTAAAAAAATTTCTAATGGCAAGGTACTTGACATGAAAAAGATAACATCATTTGAAGTTTAATCATCTGAAGAAGTTTCCTATCATCAGTGATAGCCGTATTCAGTAACTCGACTACCTTTTGTAAGGATTATGTTAATTTTATTAACAGTTAAATTTTAAGTTAAACTCCTGTCCTGTCAAATACTTAACTTCAACTTACTACTTCCGGCCAGAACGTAGTTTTAGAATCACGTTTGAATACATAATGAGGAAGAGTGGTATTTAACCGCGAAGTTCTACTTGCTGAGTTAGAGAGAATCAGAGTTTCTGATTAGCGCGCGTTCGCCTTGTTGGCTACTCTCTCTCAAAACTGTTATTACGCTCGACCGTACTCAGGCCCTTGATAGCTTCGCAGTCAATTAGCGTTAAGGGGCCAACTCGGTTAGAATCTTGATAGCTATATCTCTTTAGTTTAGATTAGTTTTAGTTTATTTCTTAGCCTCTTAAGTACAATCTCAAGTGTCGGCTTTTATTGTACACTCCAAGACGGAGTTCTGTTAAATCTTATTTGAATAATAAAGGGTTATTTACCCTTCCAGCTTGTTGTTTCTTGTCAGACGAACTTAAGCGATTATTCGCTTAACAGTTCTTAAGATTCTTCACGTTCAACTGTAAATGAGCATTTATAAAGTAAGGAACTCTACACTTTAGAGAAGACAAAAATTGTTTGAAACCGTATTTAACCGCGAAGTTCTACTTGCTGAGTTAGAGAGAATCAGAGTTTCTGATTAGCGCGCGTTCGCCTTGTTGGATACTCTCTCTCAAAACTGTTATTACGCTCGACCGTACTCAGGCCCTTGATAGCTTCGCAGTCAATTAGCGTTAAGGGGCCAACTCGGTTAGAATCTTGATAGCTATATCTCTTTAGTTTAGATTAGTTTTAGTTTATTTCTTAGCCTCTTAAGTACAATCTCAAGTGTCGGCTTTTATTGTACACTCCAAGACGGAGTTCTGTTAAATCTTATTTGAATAATAAAGGGTTATTTACCCTTCCAGCTTGTTGTTTCTTGT